TCTTTATTCTCTATCTATTCAATCAAATAAGTTTAAGGTGTTTTCGTTTACATTGTCCAATATCTAGGCTGAATAATTATGCGAAATTAGAAATCAAAACTAGATTTGATGTTTAATGATTTAAGTCTATATCTAAATAATTTATGTAGTTGTGTGGTGTGGATTGCTTACGTTTATATAAGTAGTAGTATATGATGATGGTCAGTTACAGAATGTATTTCACAAGAAGATCAATAACGAAAGAACGGGAATGAAACGCAATTGGTATGAAAATGTATGAACAATGAAATCAGAGAAGACGGACTGATATTTTTATAAGAAACAGTCAAGATTGAGACAATTGATTGATAGTTTGCATATTAACTGTTTACTGTATGGTTGTTAGATTTTAGTGAGATAATCTGTAATTTTCATGTCTAATACATTGGATTGTCTCCACCCGTGTTCTTGTTCACTACAGTTGTATGTACCACAGAATTTTAGACTTCATCCAATCATTCAAGTTTTTCTTTATTTAATTCACTACTATAAAGAAGAAATTAGGAACATATCTTTTAGATTCAGTTGGAAATTTATTCTCAATTATCAGAATGGGTTTTGTGGAGATTTCAGTATTTTTATAGTTGACATCATGAGTCAATTGAAGCTAGACCATCATGGAAAACCTGGAAGCACTGGACGGCTGTTCCATCCTATTGTAGGATTCCTCAGTGGTGCGCATCCACGATCCCGCCTCACGAGATTCGAGTGGTTAAGCTCTCTGGTACGAGACTGGCAGGTCTTGGGCTCGAATCTCGTGAGGCGGGATCGTGGATGCGCACTGATGAGGAGTCCTACAATAGGATGAAACAGCCGTCCAGTGCTTTCAGGTTTTCCAAGGTGGTCTAGCTTCAATTGACTCATGACCTCGACTATATAGATATATAGATCTCAACTATGAAAATATTCTCAATTACTTTTGTGGAGCAAGCTATATCGACAGAAGTTTTAAAAATTTGTATTTTTGTGCTTGCGAGCATCTTCCATTGTGATTAAGTGAAGGTATAGTAAAAAAATGTTAACAGTTCATTTCTAGTTCATTTAGTATAAACAGGACATACACCCAATATGGAGCACGTGCTTACAAATCTTTAATTAACGTATTGCTAATTTGAGTTTTGTTTTAATACCCTATCGAATGAAATTGAATTTATATTCGACTAATTGCAGATTACTAAACTTGTCTTTGAAATTATAATAACTGAAAACTTTCAACTTGGTTATGTGAATCAGGATTGTTTTGAGAATATTTCATTTACTGATCTTTGTCTATCATACATTGCATTTTACATTAGTCGTCTTTCCCAGTTTCATCAAAAATTGTGCGGCGCTAACAACTCTATCATAAATCATAGGATACCCCATTATCTATTTTTTTGTGGATATCCAACAACAAAAGTGAGACTGTCTTGGTCAATTCAGAAAAACCAGATACTATCACTAGGTAATATTACATAAAATGCCTTGAAGATGAATTTGAAAACTTACATTTAATTAACTGAGTTTTGTTTTGGCATTTTGAATTAGCAATATTATTATTTTTAAAATGTGTAGATTTTAACCATTTCATATATGCTTGAACAGTGAACGATGTTAAAACAAACTATAATTTATTAGTGTCAGTGGTTTGTGGAAGTTGTTAAGTTTCATAGTTTTCATCGGAGACTGACCTCGGTTAGGCCAAGAAGGGCATAATAACTGTTTCTTGTTGTATAAATCTACTTATTAGTTTGTATCTATGACTTTACTGAAGACCAAACTGAGGATCCTTAGGTCTCGCTGCTAGTTTCTTGTCTTCATATCATTGAGTTAACATTAAATGGTTTACATTTTTGTCTTCAGGCACATGCGATATTGTGAAAACGTTTTCCAATGCCATTGGTAAGTAACTGCCTCACAGTCTATGTAGTTGATATTGACTGTTCAGTGTTTCTCACCAAAACTCCTAGAAGGTTTAAGTTAAATCCCTGATGATGTTGTAGATGGACAATATTGATGGGTCTCATACCAGAATGAAACAATCATTTTCAATGATCACCTGTTTATGGTCAGTTCGTGATGTGAACTGTGAAATTACCAATTAGTTAAATATTTCTTTAATTACAGATCTGACATTAGCTGAGTTCGTTTGAGAAATTATTAGCTTTGAAATATAGTTATTTAATAAGGCGTACTTTAGGGAAATCCCAAAAAACCGATTACTTCGAATCATGTTAGTGTTTCAGACAAAATTATTATATCCTCTGCCCTTTCATTAATTATCTATCCATCCCAAGTTTAAGGGTTCCGAGTATGGTTTAAAAGGTCAATATATGGATCAATATTGAAAGAAACTCTTTTAAGTTATACTTGAAATGTTCTTTAGATAAATGATTGGTTGAAGTTAGACATTACCACCGTTGGATGCCGGCTCAGTGGTCTGTCGGTAAAGTGCCCTGGCGCGAGACTAGTAGGTCCTGGGTTCGAATCTTGCGAGTGAGGGACGATGGATGCGCACTGCTGAGGAGTCTAGCTTCAATTGACTCATAATTTCAACTATGAAAGATAACCACATCTAAATGCTTTAATTCTCATGTACGTTCTCATGTTCTAGTATTGATGGATCGTACATTGGTAAGTACAAAAAACTTTCCATATTTTGTCTTCCAATATCTAGCCTTCTTTTAGTCATTAAGAACACTCAGCTGTCAAAAGGTAAATTTATGTAGGCAGTATAAATAATTTGTGATAAATGAAACCTGCTTCATTGAATATCTTTTCATTATTCAAAAGAGATCATATGAACTTCATCAATAAAGTATAATAAAATAATTCGTTTCAATGTTCACTTGAACTAATTAATATAAATTCAAATCCCATAGGGGAAATCAGTCCTCTTGAGATTGTAGATAAGCCTTGATGATGAGTGCCGACTGATATGAAATCTAGTTTGCGAATTTCCTCCTGATTATTTTAAACCACTTGACCATAAATGAATATTGCATAGTGTATATATATATATAATTTTATGGCAAGTATTATTCACAAGTAATACTCATCAAATTGCATTACGAAGGAAGCGCTAACTTAGAATTCTGAAGGCAAGCGAAAATGAGGAAGGCCAAGAAATCCTGTGTCGAGAATCGGAAGCAGACATGACAAGGATGAATAACATCTGGGAACAACTGGAAAGGATTGTCCAGGACAGAGTTGGATAGGAAATGCTAGTGAGTGACCTATGCTTATTCACTAGCGATAACAGGCATAAGTAAGTAATTACTCACACATTTGTCTATAAGCTTGTGTTACAAATAAAAGCGATATTTCATCGTGACTTCACTCAGGATTATTTTTTTTCGCAACTTATTGGATAATGATTGGGCTTGATGTGTGTTACTGATATGGACAGATATAAATAGTATGTATCATCAATTGAAAGTGAGATGTCTGGTGGAAGAAGGTAAAGAAGATCAAGGAAAAGAGGACGAGAACAGAGAATGATTGTTGTGAAAATGAAGGATCAGTGAAATCTAAGACAATTGATTGACATTTTGCAAATGAAGTATTTACTGTATGGTTCTCAGAGTTTACTAAGATATTCTGTAATTTTATATTCAAATACATTTAACTGTCCCTCCTTGTGTTCTCGTTCACTACAGAGTCACTTCATAAAGTAAAGTATAAGTCCGTACATTATTTGATGCATAAACTTTAAAGAACACTGTTAGTAATCTGCGCCAAAGACATTCAGACACGATCTAGAGACTGAGAGTATTAAATAATATGATTGGTTAAATCACAACACCAAAAACAAGATTCCATTTTTCTATTTATACACAAAGATATTATAATTAAGGTACAGTAAGTTTTTAAAACGTTTTGTATGTAATCCAAATATTACACTGAAGTTAAAGTGAGTGTATTTCTGCAGAAAGTAACTCATTACGTAACTTATCTGAGGCTCACAATAATATTAGTATATATTACTTACATACTTACTTACTTACGCCTGTTACTCCCAATGGAGCATAGGCCGCCGACCAGCATTCTCCAACCCACTCTGTCCTGGGCTTCCTTTTCTAGTTCTATCCAGTTTTTGTTCATTCTTCTCATGTCTGTCTCTATTTCTCGGCGTAATGTGTTCTTTGGTCTTCCTCTTTTCCTTTGACATTCAGAATTCCATGTGAGGGCTTGTCTTGTGAAGCAATTAGCTGATTTCCTCAAGGTGTGCCCAATCCACTTCCAGCGCTTCTTCCTGATTTCTTCCTCCGCTAAAATCTGGTTTGTTGTCTCCCACAGTAACTTGTTGCTGATAGTGTCTGGCCATCGGATCCGAAGTATTTTGCGTAGACATCTGTTAATGAACACTTGTATCTACTGGATAATGGCTTTCGTAGTTCTCCACGTCTCCGCCCCATACAGTAGAACTGTCTTGACATTTGAATTGGAAATTCTAACCTTGGTGTTGGTTGACAATTGTTTTGAGCTCCAGATGTTTTTCAGTTGTAGGTATGCTACTCTTGCTTTGCCGATCCTCGATTAGTATATATTAATCTCCTCAAAAAGGATGAATCACACAACTTTATATTCTTAGATTTCATAAAGGTACTTCTAACAAACAGGGAAATAACGACGTAATTTAATATCGACAGATAAATTTGTGTACTAGGTAATAATATATATGTATTCAATCAGCCATGATCAACTTATAGGTAAGGAATAAATGTATGTTGGTCTAAGTCTCCAAACAATATTAACACAACATGGTGATGAGGAATATCAAAAGAATTGAGATAATCTTTGTTATGACTTGTCGCCGAGTGGATGCCCTGTTAACGTAAGAACGCGATATGACCGCCAATCCGAGAGCAGGGAATTATCAATTAGAACAGTGACACATGAAAACCATACAAGCAGTCTAGAGTACGTATCGGTCCTGCTTTCTGTCTAGACCAGCCAGTTAAGTCCAAAACATAAATCTCAGCCTCTGTGGTATGAATCATTATATTTCAAACATATTGAGTTTATATACCAACCAAACAGACCACATCATAGCATAAAATAGAAAATAACATTTGTACAAGATTTAGCCAAATGTGGCTGTAAATAGGCGGAACAGTAATTAGGAAACTGGGTGTAATTCATGAATGGTAAATTGTATAACAATAGTTTATAGTTAAAAATAAAGCTCATGATAAAGGGATCATGAATATGAATAGTTCAGTTACTTAGCGATTATACGAAAAAAAATATACGCATAATATTGGTCCATAAATGGATCCCAAAGTTACCATTCATTATTCTTATAGGGACATAATAATCTTTGAATTAATAATAATGACAAAGACTGAACATTGAAAATATATTATGAGAAGACAGAATAAAAGAATACTAAAGCTCAATGTTTAAAAGAAGATAAAGTGTTAATCGATCTGCATAATATTGATCGATTCTAATAGGATATCGTATAACATTCTGATCTACTAGTCTCAGTTATCGTAGAGAGAAAGGCCAAGGAACACTGTGTCGAGAATCAGAAGCAGACATGACAAGGATGAATAGCAATTGGAAACAACTGGATAGGTTTGTCCAGTACAACAAAGCAGTCTGTTTCTATCAAGATATATACTACTCAAAGTTTGACAATGAAATTCAGTTTGCTAAATAGGAATAAAACAAAGGAATTGTTTTTTCTAAAGTTTAATTAGACTAAATGAGATCTAATATTACATCATCAATGAATAGAAATTATTATCAAATAGTTCACTTACAATTATTTATTCATTAGGATAATGAAATTAACAATACTATTTACAAATAAGGAAAAACATTTATCATTCTATTGATTCATATCTCATACATGATCCAGATCATAAAAAAAATAGGATCTTCATTCATTTGCAACTATGAACTGATATGATGTATATAAGTGTATATCTACAATATACAACAAATATATAATTATTAACAATTAATCAATATATTTTTGATCTGATCTTGTTTTAAATCATTTTGTTGATTATGATTAATCAATAATAAATGATTATCATTTTTATAATAATCAATTTTCTCTTCATGCCATTGATATAATAAATCTAATATAGGACGTGTAAATATACAATTAACAGTAATATATATAGATTGTAAACTATATAATAATGTAAATACATGCCATAATGATATAGATGCTTTAATTATAGATAATAATGCAATAAACCATATTAGACTATGTGTTATTGTAAATTTTAATGTTATCCAATATCTTGCCCTTAAATTAGTTGTTTTCCATAATGTTATAATTATATTATGATGATCATTATTATCGGTCCTTTGATGTTGTTGACCAATCATTAATAGTCTAGTTATCATTAAAATACAACAGAATTGTAATAATAATAAAAGAAATAGAATTGGAAAGAATACATAGAAGTGACCATAATTTGGTATTAGATTACAGGATATAATGGCGAACTCTTCATGATCTTCACTGATATAATTGTAGGTTTCAAATAGTAACATACTAATTACTACACATAATATAGGTAAAATAATAACCGTTATATGTCCTATTATATAACATAATTTTTTGATATACTTCAAACATACATGACTAGAATTACATAATGAATAGTTACCATGGTAACAATTTATATTTTCTCGTCGACTCATTAATAAATATACAATCATAAATGAAGATTTTAAATTCATTATCATATTTGTTAATATACAATAATCAGCTAAATAACTTAAAATAGTATGAGTTAAATTAGATTTAGGCAATGAACATGTAATCAATGTCATTAAATAGGATGCTGAATAAAAGAAACAATTAATCACTATGCATATACCATATAATTGTCTTATACGTTTAAAATATAAGATAAACATTAAATGTATTAATGTAGAACAAAATGCTAATGAAAAACAAATTTGTGTAATTCTATGCGTTTCTGTATCTATTCGACTATCATTATTTATAATCATAGAAGAGATAGAACTTTGATTACATAAATGATTTATTGGATTTTCGGAAATTTGTATTGGATGAATTGATTTACATAAAATATAATCATTTGTAGAATTTGTATATTGTGACATTTTAAACTTTGTTTCCCTGAAGAAGGTTCAAACAAGTTAGATGGACGAAACGTTGGAATTAATTTTTTTTAAATTTCACTGGCTGAGACTATTTCAAATATAATAATTGTTCACAATAGAATGACTTCTGTATACTCGGTACCCACACTTTGGATAAACTTGAAGCAAAATTTAATTTTGATGATTTCTTTGAAGAAGTTCCAGGCAAGTTAGCTGGACGAAACGTTGTAATTATTATTATTTAAATTTCACTGGCTGAGACTTGGCACCCAATTGTTGTCAAGCTATTTGTTCTAACCTTGACGAATATTCTTTTGTGTAAAAAAAATATAAAAAAAATTATTTTTAATAATGATCAAATAATAGTGACTAGGTTTGTTTTATGTTTAATCAGTAATAAACATGTCACATAGTTACAAATCGAGTTTTCAAACGAATTAATCAATGTATAAAAGAATTAACCAATCAAATTATTGAAAGATGAAAAACAGTGATATTACTTTGATTTGATTGGTTAATTAAATTTTGTTAGGTATTTGAAATTTTTTCGAAAATATTATTGGTATTTTTGAAAAAAAAAGATTTAAAGTTTATTTGTAATGAATTTTCAAAGTTGAAAGCGTGAGTCAATTGAAGCTAGACCACCATGTAAATTTTTGGAAGCACTGGACGGCCGTTTCGTTCTATTGTGGGACTCCATAGAAGTGCGTATCCACAATCCCGCCTCGCGAGATTCGAGATTCGGTTAAGTGCTCTTGCACGAGACTCATAGGTCTTGGGCTTGAATCTCGTGAGGCGAGGTCGTGGATGCTCACTGCTGAGGTGTCTTACAATAGGACGAAACAGCCATCCGATGCTTCCAGGTTTTCTCTGGTGGTCTAGCTTCAATTGATTCACGCTTTCAACTATGAAAATATTAAATCTCCACAAGAAAACCCCTTCTTATAATTATGATAAATTATTTTCGTAATTATGGTTTATATTTTTTTCTTTCTTGAAAATGTTAATCCTTCTTTTCGTTTGTTTGTTTGCTTGTATGTATGTATGTTTGTTTAATATTGAATGATGAACATATGAAAGTAAAGTGTTAAGTTTTAGATTTCATTGATATAGTGAATATTTATCTTTGACATAAATGTTCATGAACGTGACATGAATGTGAATGGATAATAGATGATCTAGATTCAATGACTTGATTTAAATCAAGTTTTTTTATTTAAGGTTATGTATACCTATAACTTGTTCTATAATCGGATATAATATCTTCTGACATAAATCTAAAACCTGTTAGCTTTGATACTGTTTAGTGATCAGTAAAAATAGTGTACAGCTTATCTATATCTGGTATTTAACATTATTCCTATCAATATGTATTCATCATGAAGCCAATTCTTTTTGGAATATGACTAACTTAATTTAGTTTTTATCTTGATAGATTTATGTGAAGGAGGATAGTTGACATCTATGCATTTCCAGTAAGGACCGGAGTTAGATAAGGCTGTCTACTCTGTTCCTTCCTCTTTCTTTTGATGATTGACTGGATTATGAAGACCACGGCATATGAGAGGAAGCACGGAATACAATGGACATCTCAAAATAAATTTGACGATTTGGACTTTGCAGATCATCTAGCTCTCCTATCTCATACACACGAACGAATACAGATGAAGACAACAAATGTAGCAGCAGCCTCTGCATCAATATGTCTCAACATACACAACGAAAAAGCAAGATCCTAAAATGCAACATGGGGAACGTCAACCCAATCACACTAGATTGGGAAATTCTGGAAGTTGGGAAAACCTTCATGTACCTGGGAATCATCATTGATAAACAAAGACAATCTGATGCAGATTTAAAATGGGAGGACTGGAAAAGAAAGGGCCGCATTCCTACGATTGAAGAATATATGGAACTCAAAACAACTGTCACAAAACTGCATCACGAGGCAAGCTCCGACTCGGAATTCGGAAGGGAAGCGGAAAAGAGGAGGGACAAAGAAAACATTACGCCGGGAAATAGAAGCAGGATGGATGATAAGGATGGATGACAACTGCAAAGAACTGGAAAGGTTTGCTTGGGACAGGGTTGAATGGAGAATGCTGGTGGTTGGCTTTGCTCCTCTTCGAGGGGTAACAGGCGTAAATAAGTAAGTAATTTTATACCCTTTATTCGTAACACTTTTCTTTCTTTCGTTAACTCTTCTTCACTAACCATAATTTTAAATTGATTATTCGCAACACGTTCGATATCTTAAGCTAATAACTTCTATTTACGATTTCTCACATACTTCTTATTACGTGTTTTTTATGGTTATTATCTTAACACGTTTATTTTCTCAGGTTTTGACTTAATTCCTACGCTTGCTATTTTAATCGAATAAATAATAGTATTAACAGATTATATATCTTGTCCTTAATTAACTTTTCAGAACACATTTAATCTGTCAGTTCATAGTCTATCTAATAAGATATACGTACATGTATCTCTGTAAGGATAAAAAAGATTTTAATCATTAGTATTTACAGGTAAATTTAATATCCATCCTCTTAAACTTCATAAAATATCAGAAAGGGAGTTTTGTGTAGATTGAAGTAATTTAATAGTTGAATTCATGAGTCGATTAAAGTTAGAACATCATGGAAAACCCAGAAGCACATGATGGCCACCTCGTATGAAACTCCTCTGCAGTGCGCATCCACAATCTCACTAGCTGGGTTCGAACTAAAGACCTTAGGTCTCCCGCTTGAACGCTTAACCTCAAGACTATTGGGCGGCATCCAATGCTATTAATATCTAACTTCAACCAATCAACTCATGAATTCAACTATTAAATTCATAAAATATAGCGTATAAAAAACTATATTCTTCGCTATACAGTTTGATGGGTTCGAAAACCAGAAAATAGATATATAAGATATTACAAATGAAAAGAGCCAGATAAAAACAGTTCTATCTTGGCACATCTAATTCATAGTGGTCATAATGTAGATAAATCGAAATCGTTTCGATTGATCTATCATACACCTCCATCATTTCACAACGGAGTTCGTTCCCGTCTCCTTCATATAGCAGAAGCCATAGGAATTCGTCCATTTCACCCCAATTTATGTATACAGAAGAAATTTGTAACCCCTCTTTCCCTTCCATGGCCGGACATAACTTAACAAATGACGTTACTATTATTATTTTAAATTTTGTTTTTAATAGTTGAAATCATGAGTCAATTGAAGCTAGACCACCATGGAAGACCTGGAAGCACTGGACGGCCGTTTCGTCCTAGTGTGGAACTCCTCAGCAGTGCGCATCCATGATATCGCCTCGCGAGATGAAATCTATAAAAAAAATGTCATGTCACGCTATTTTAGGACTCTTCAATCTGATGTAACTGTATCCCACTGTTATTGTTTACTGCGAAATTCCATCTGACACCAATATATTAGAAAAACACATGTAAGCGAACAATTGTTTTCAATTAGATTGTCAACAAGCTTCACTCTAATATACATGAATATTTATACGGAAAAAGTTAGGCCAATCAAAGCACTTTGAATCAATAATCACAATGAAATAAAAAACGTCGCCAAGTATAATAGTTAAAAGTACAAGTTGATAGTGGGAAGGCAGGTATACTTATAGTAGTAAGAATATTAAATTATGATAACAAAAGTCTTATCAATATTTAAGCAAAGAAAATAGGAGGTCAAACGTGAGCAAATAGACTTAGAATAGTGATTACAAAACATTATATTATCCAATAAACTGATGAACTATCTAGATTTTCATCAAGATCATTAAACAACATTATTTTTGTATAAAGATTTTTTCAAACAAACCAAGAACTATAAGCAGAGATGAATAGTGGCTAGCAGTGGAATCCGGTACGTGCGTTTCGTCCTATTTGGGACTCGTCAGCTGGATGTACCTGCATCTCAGAGTTGATGTTCACTCTGGGACTCGAACCCAGTACCCTCGCTTCAATCTCTGCTTATTATGCTTGTGAATTAAGGCTATATCGAGGCAATATGCACAGTATGAACATATGCTAATTAGAGATTGACCAGTTGCAGTCCTAACACATCGATGGGAAGATTTAAACAAATAATACTAAATGAATTCAAGAACAATAAGGTTTGTAGAATAAAATGAATTCTATTTCACGCTTTCTTATCAACTGCATACAATGTAAATTTAAAATTAGAACAAATCAGATGACGGAGGAGGAAAGAATCAGTTTCAGTTTCAGTTTCAGTTTCAGTTTGGAAAGGACAGGAGGCTTGGTGGCCTGTGTTAGTCCTGGCAATGATGGTCTCTCAGCTGATCCAACTTTCTTTTGAAGGAGTCGACGGATGGAGCCTCAACCACGTGCTGAGGTAATGAATTCCACTCGTTGATTATTCGATGGGAAAGTCGGTAGTCAGCTGACAAGTAATTCGTTCTGGGCTTGTGAACTTTTTTGGAGTGTCCTCGTAGATTTTCTGTTTTGGAAGACAAGAAAAATGAGGGCATATCAGGTGCAAATTTGTCATTTAGCAATTTGAAAACTATAATCAAGTCACCTCTGATTCTTCTATATGACAGCGGGAATAGGTTTAGCTTGGTCAGTCTAGTACCATACGGGAGCTTCGCTATTCCGGGAATCAGCCTAGTTGCTGTTCTCTGAACTCTTTCCAAGAGTTCACTGTCTTTTTTTAGGCAGGGGTTAGCTGCTTGTATACAGTACTCAAGTTTAGGGCGTACGAACACTGTATACAAAGTCAGAAACGTTTTAGCGTCAAGATGCCTAAAAGCCCTGCGTATGGACCATAAAGTCCTAAAACCTTTGGCGGCTATTGCACGGCAGTGTGCAGTAGTCTTTAAGTCTTGACTAACGATGACGCCTAAGTCATTGTGTGCCTGAACAATAGGTAACTCAGTGTTATTCATCGTGTATGTATCTGTACCCTGATGGCCAATATGCATCACAATACACTTGGAAGTGTTTATCGGCAATTGCCAGGTTTGGGACCATTCAGATAATCTCTCCAGGTCATTTTGAAGTTCTAAGCTATCGCTCTTGCTTTGTATCGCTCTCCATATCTTGACATCATCAGCATAGAGTAAGACCGATGACGATAGTAGACGAGGGAGATCATTTACATACAGGAGGAATAACACTGGCCCCAAAACTGTACCTTGGGGGACTCCACTAAGCACAGTTTCCCAGCTAGACAACTTGGAGTTCACCCTTACTCTTTGTTGACGCCCAACTAGGAAGTCTTTTATCCACATCAATAGATTGCCTCCAATCCCGACATTCCTTAGCTTATATAACAGCCGGTTATGCGGAACTTTGTCGAAGGCTTTGCTGAAATCGATGTAAGCTACGTCTATAGGTAATTTTTGGTCCTTAAGAGCGCACCAGCTTTCACGAGCGACTAATAAGTTTGTGAGACAAGAGTAACCTGTTCTAAAACCATGCTGCTTTTCGGAGAGGATCCGGTTTTCATCGAGATACTTTAACAGTTCCTTCCGAATAATCTTTTCTAAGATTTTAACAACCACACTAGTTAGGCTAATTGGTCGGTAATTCTCAGGCTTATGTTTTGTACCTGTTTTGAAGACTGGACTTACTATGGCGTTCTTCCAGTCTTTTGGTAGACGACCCTGGGTTACGGATAGATTAAAACATACACTTAAAGGGTTCGCAACAAAGTTAGCTAATTCCTTTAGTAACCTAGGATGCAGTTCATCGGGTCCAGTGGATTTACCTATGTCAAGCTTAACTAGCAGACCAAAAACATCGAGTTCTTCAATGGTTACGCTGTCCAGTGCTTGTGTGGGTGGATTTTCATGGACTGGTGAGAAGGGTGTTTCTATGGTGTATACATCGCTAAAGTATTTAGAGAATACTTGAGCTTTGCCAAAGTCATCCTCCACTAGTGATGTGGCAGTACTGTCTCCCCATAATGAAGGAACATTCCTTCTTCTTTTTGTCCTTTGGTTTATATACGAGTACAAGCGTTTAGGGCATTCTATGGATTCCCTTACGATTTTCTCTTCGTACAGCTTTCTGGCCTTACGGAGGGTCGAGGCACAGGTATTTCGAGCCTTTTGATACTGAGATTTCGCCTCGTCAGTCCCCAGTAACCTAAATCTGTCCCACATTTTCCTTCTTTTACGGAGAAGGATGCGAACCTCCCTACTGAACCACGGTGGGGAGTTTCTCGGTCTCTTAGGTGTAGTCCAAGGGATGTGGGGGGCGGTAACTTTTAAGTATAAATTCCGGAATACGTCCCAAGCCGTTTCGATTGATGACTCTGGATCTAATTTCCAATCTACTAATGATGCTGATTTCATGATGTCTGCTATGTTTGCTTTCCAGACGTTAGGTCTGGATTGAGCTGAAGCGTACTCGTGATCGACAGTTATGTGGAAGTCAAAGCTTAAAACTGCATGATCACTTTTGCCTAGGGGTGGCATGTAATCCAGGTTTGCAACATCATCCTCATAATGAGTCAATATAAGATCTAGTAAGGATGATGCAGAACCCGGGTCGTACCTAGTTGCTTCCTTCACGTGTTGCACTAGAGCACAAGTGATTATCGCATCAACTAGTTCCTGTTCGAAGGAGTTTGCTGACGATTCAGTCCGAAGATTTCCCCAGTCCACCATGGGTGCATTGAAGTCCCCTAAGATTAGACATCGATCACTTCGTGATAAAGTGTTGAGACTGCTTAGCAGGACCTCGTTTGCCTCACAGCTTGGACTGCGATAGATCAAACTAAGTAGTAACTCTTGTCCCCTGCATTTCAGGCGGCAGCAAACTAATTCATACGTCCCACTCTCATGGGATACACTGTCGATAATGGTGAATGGAATAGCATTCCTAATGAATAGAGCTACCACCCCTCCTTTACGCGTTTGTATTCTATCGGCCCTTACCAATGTAAAACCCTCGAAATCAAGTTCCCTACTATCTATAGACGGCGTCAGCCATGTTTCTGTGACTGCGATTATGTCTGGCCTAGTTGAGTCAATCTGTACACCTAGTTCCGGTAGCTTATTTAGTAAGCTCCGGGCGTTGGTATAACAGATCCGAAGCCTATTTAGGTGGCCTCGTGCTTCACCCAGAGTGGCTTCGGCATCATCCTCTGTCGAAGCCTCACAACCCGAAAATTTACAATTTTCAGGTCTTTTTCGCCAGCGTCTAATCTGAGCTGTAGTTCCTTTTCGGCTTCCCGTCTTTTAACACGGTCCGCCAACGGTAAGTCCTTACGGAGAAAAACTCCTGAACCCTTTAATTTGTGTCCATTTTCTAAGATTAAGTCGCGTTCGTTTGAGGATTTGAAAACGACTTTGAGTAGTCTAGACTGATTTGGTTTCAGATGCGCTAGATTTCCTAATCTATACACCTTTAGCAAGGTGACTCCGGGGATGTTTTTGGGCATAACTTGGTTGAGTAGTTGTTTTATCAACACAATGTCATGCTCAAAACGAGCTTTCGGTTCTAAGTTGTCACTCTCCTTGACTCTATGGAGAATGACTGATCTGTCGCTGTGATCAGACCTCGGCTTGTCGACCCTTTTGGTGGGGGTATGACTTCCTTTTACGTCATTTTGGCGTTTTTTTCTTACGACCCGTACCCAATCGCCAACGTTCTTTGGAGTGGTAACCACATTCGCGTCAGGCGTACTGTGGGATTCCGGAAGAGTCAGGACGACTTGGGAGATCGGGTCATCTTTCGCGCTGGAAACCGATCGAGCCTTGCGGTTTCGGCTTCCTGAAGTTCCCTTCTGGGTACCATTTTTGATACGAGGGACAGAAGAGACTTTTTTGCGCGAGTTTCTGGTTGTAACAGTCCTCTTTGGAGGATGTTCTTCCTCCTTAGTAGGGTGTGGGTCGGCAGTTTTTGGACTCACTTGGGCCTGCCTTGTGTCAATCTGCGTGTCGACAGATTGAGTTCTGACTGATGTATCCCGACCGCGCTTGCCGAGACACTTTTTTGCGGCATTTACTATTGAAATGGCCTCGGTTAGCAGGCTATTTGCATCCAAACAGCACTGTTGACATAGCCATACACATCCATTTTTACTAAACCGCTTGAAAGCTGCAGGTGTTAGATTCGTGCAAACATCGTGGTACCAACCTTTGCACTCATCGCACTGCATGCCGCTATCAACAGGATATCGACATCCTGGGCGGTGGCAAATGCTTTTGTTGCATCTTCCAGTCATTTTAAGATGCGAAAGTGAGTGTTGACTATAAGTAGAAAAAAAAACTATAAACAGTTAGGACCAAAGTACTAACAGACACAATGGAAAAAGAAGGTACTCTGGAGTACCGACGATAAAACTATTTAGGATACCAAAGATGATACTCTAATAGAATACTTTAACTGAAAGAAATTCAATCAAAGTATAAAAACAGTAGTCTTGATACGTTAATAACGATCAAAACAATAGAATTTACTCAACGAGGAAAAATACCACTGTCCTTTTTAAATAGCGCGAATCGGGAAGAAGCGATGGAAGTGGATAGGAAACACTTTGAGGAATGCACCCAACTGCGTCATAGGATAAGCACTCACATGGAATCCTCAAGGTCAAAGGAAAAGAGGAAGACCAAAGAACACATTAGGTCGAGAAATGGAAACAGACATGAGAAGAATGAACAAAAATTGGATAGAACTAGAAAAGAAGGCCCAGTACAGAGTGGGTTGGAGAATGCTGGTCGGCGGCCTATGCTCCATTGAGGATAACAAGTAATATAATTATTAAAAAATGTTTTAACTTCCATGTGTGAATTTTAAATAAATGTTCGGAACATAATTATAATAAAAATGATAACAAAAATAATGAGAGGAATAAGATACAAAGTGCATAACTAAACCTAATTAAGATTGAAGTGTATTCATATGTTAGAAAGTAAAAAATTCACAGAAGAACAGATGTTATAGTTACTATGGCGATAATGAAGATAAAAAAAATTATGCTAGGGTAATGAGAGCGAAAAGAAGGATCGAAGGAAGCAAAGAGAAGAGCGAGAAGGAAAAGTACTCTCAGGGGAGAAAGTGTGTTAGCCAACCCGATTTAATCAAGCTTTAATCGATATTTATAGCCGAACAAAAAGAAGCTAAAGACATGTGATGAATAAGATAAGAAATTTATCCACACACACATAAAAACAGCCAAGGTTTATAAGCGAAATAAGTGACAGGGTAAAAGTGTGGCTTGTGAAGAATGTATAGATTGATCAGTTCAGAGGCTAGAATAACCTACGTGGGCTTGACATAATACCAGCCCTTACAAACGTATATAAATATTTTGAGATTGTAAACATCTGATGAAAACAAACTTTTTGCTTGAATAATCAATCAATATTGCTCAGCTGTTCACGCTTATTTACTTACTTTCGCCTGTTACTCCCAATGGAGCATAGGCTGCCAACCAGTATTCTCCAAAGCACTCTGTCCTGGGCCTTCCCTTCTACTTCCATCCAATTTTTGTTCATTCTTCTCATATCTGTCCTCATTTCTGGGCCTAATGTGTTCTTTGGTCTTCCTCTTTTCCTTTGGCCTTCAGGATTCCATGTGACGCACTTGGGTGACCCCCTCAATATGTGTCCTATCCATTTCCATCGCTCCTTCCTGAATTCTTCCTCCACTGGAATCTGGTTTACGCTTATTTAGAAAACTAAAAATGTGAAGAATCATACGGAATAAAATATTGGTTGTTAAGTATTAAGTTCATATTATAGATTATACTTAATATTTTTAATAGTAAAAAACGAAATGTTTTAAGGTCAAACTAATGTTTTCTCTGAAAATTTATCGCTTCAACTCACGCAAAGTGGTGATAAGTGGTAATAATAATACTAACTTCCATTGAACGTAAGTAGGTCACTATCTAACTAAGTCATTGGGAATTAATTTCAGAAAAGTACATTCTACTACTTTCCTGAATATTCTGCATCTTTCCTAAGGTTACTGTTAAAAACAAACTGTTATTGATTAATGATAATGCAAGATTAATTGATATACCTGGTACTTAAACGTTTTCTGCTGATTTTATGATCACTTCCAAGTTCTCTTGGAATCTCTCAAAATCGAAATCCGAATGGAAGATACGAAAGTATGAAGTACAAAAAGTGTATTTAACTTCAAAATTCATATAGTTAAAGGAAATAAGTGGATTTACAATTTTATGAATGAGGCTGATATTCTGGAAGCCTTAGGAAAGATGCTATAATGGAGAAAATTAATAATTGTCCAATAAGAAAATAACAAACTGTCCATCATTATACTAGAACAGTTTGCCCAAGACCCTACTAAATTTTAATTAATTGAAGCAATTTCAATAGTTTACTAGCTTTCGAAAACTTTCAAAAGAAATTAGACGGGTGACCTCCAGCAATGCTCCCAAATGCCCTGGTAAAGCCGAGATTGGGGGGGGGTCCGCTCTCCCTCTCGAAATGCTCACACATGGCCACACGTATACAACCTCTGACAGGGAAGTCCTACTCCCTGCCTTCTCGCACCACGGGTGTTGTTTACGAAATCGAGAGAACTAAAAGCGAATGTCCGGTGCTTGAACTGGGTTGGTGGACACGTAAAGTCCACCTAGGGAAGTTGGAAAACCCTGATTCCAAAACAATAGTGTACATGGTCTCCAGTATCCTGATGGAACAAATGGCGTATGAACCAATTATTATTCACCGACTAACATGTGACTGCATCTCCTCACGATGCTCCACTGTGTTGTGGATCAGACTTTTAGGTCAAAGGTTCCAGGTGTGGCCCCCTAAAATAAATCACCTGCTTCAGTTTGGGCACCTGGGCAGTATCACAGCCCTCACACAAATCAAATGAGATTTGTGTGGCGCATATATATCTGATGCCTCCTTGTACCAATATTTATGTGTTTAAATAAATAAATAAATAACCTTCAGCACTAATTAAGAGAAGAAATGCAACTGATTCTGTTTTAAGTCCTGAATACAAAAAAATTCACATAAACTATTATTTTAGTAGCTTACTTCATGAGCTGATTATAGTTAGATAATAGTCAAAAACCAGTAAGTACTGAATATCTGTCCTTTGCATGGTGGTCTAGCTTCAACCAATTCATGATCTCCGCTAGTAAAATTACTGTAATACTACTCATATTCATTTTACTCTCATTGTAAGCTTTATTTTGATCTACGAACTATTATTATATGATTGACCGTTCTTGAATTATACCCAGTCTATTAATTACTGTTCCCCACATTCACAGCCACATTTGGAAGAATCTTGTACAAATGTTATTATCTAGTTTATGGTACGATGTGGTCTGTCGGTTTGGTATATAAACCCAGTATGTTTGAAAATAATGATTTATATTACAGAGGCTGTTGTTGGTGTTCTATACTTAACTGGCTGGTCTATGCAGAAAGCAGGACGGATAAGTACTCTAGACTGCTCGTACGGGTTCCGTGTGTCGTTGGTCCCATCGATTATTTACTGCTCTCTAATTGACGGCAACGTCACGTCATATATTAATCGAGGCACAAACCTACAAGTTACGACAATGTTGTATTTTGTGCATTATATATTATACTTAATGCATACAATGTTTATTGTCTAGTTTATTGTACTTTTTCATACTAATTTTCCTGAACTTTTGAGATACTATTGTAGATATGGTTGTAGATAGATATTTGAAATCTTATAAGCAACTAGTAAGTTATTTAATATCACTAACGAACTATCCATTTCATTTATAACTTTCTACTTGTACATCTAAGAGGAAGAGACGCAGATATATATTTATAGATAGACACAATAAATGTACAACAGCTCGATAATACTGTACCTAGCATATATAACGTACGATGAACAGATAGTAACTCTGACTTCACCGAAAACTTATGCATATATATATATATATATTTATTTATATATAAGAATTTCTTGCTGTACTGAACATCATGAATACAGTCGTCTCGAGTGCTGTTAGATGTATGAGGGCGATTATCACTTCCCAGTTGACCACACCGTGGATAGGTTCTTCTAGAGGTACCTGAAAAGGAATTTGGGTTAAAATTGATCTTAGTTACCTGAGATCGTGGCCGTAGTACCCAATGTACAAAGTCTTGAGGATATTCACTTACGACCATTTTGTGGGTGACTTTTGTGTTAGCTCCGTATTTGTTTGTACATTAACTCCGGAGACGCGAATCCATGGGATTAAGCGAGGTGTTCTGTTTTAGGTTCAACATTTTCTGACCCCACCCTTCCTTGTGGGAAAGCAGCATCGCCGTCATGCTGGTAGTCTGAAGGAAACATTTTACTGCCGTAACACCTCTGTACAGTCAACAGTAGAACTTCGCCTTCGGACATCGGATTTCCTGCCTTTAGCGTTCCTGTTCTTCAACCAACCTGTCTGGCATGGTAGGACCTTGAGGAACGATTGTTCTGGCCAGTATAACTCGATTGGTTTGTCACTATAGGCATGCCTGATTACCAAGTCAAGGTAGTAACTGAGTGCACTGAACATTTTAAACTGAATAAGACAATTATTACTTTAATTATGAGTCTTAAAATCTTGGTTTCGATCATTGATAGGGTCGTCGGTGCCAACTGTTGACATGTCTCAAATTAAATCTTTCCAGTTTGTATCACTCAGTATGACAGATTGAACTTCGTTTTTTTTATCCACCTCTATCTACATCAATAAAAGTATTCGATTCTTAGGCTGAAAAGTGTTTTTTTTCTTACCAATATTGATATCAAGAAATGTGAATGATCAGTCTCTCTAGCATATGTACATTTTGTGAGGATTTTCTAGCTATTTCCACGTGATCTGAAGTCATAACCAGCATTGGTTATTGGCTAACAGTGGAATCCAATCCTATTCGGGATTCGTCAGCTGGATGTATCTGTACTCCAGCATTGACGCTCACACCACGAATTCAAACAAGCTCATAATAACCTCATCCCCAGTGCATAAGTAAGTGATTATCGGGACTCAGTAGATAACACGATGAGTATGCAAAAAAGGTCTGAAAAGTATGAATTATGACATCAACAGATACAATTACATTCGGATGACTACTTCTGTATTGGATGAAACGTATTTTATGAATTCCACCTCTAGCTGATATCCAACCTCGGTTAAAACGATATTTTTTCCAACAAATATTTATTGAAAGGAAAGTAGTAGATTTTTTTCAAGTGCGTAGGTGAGAATTTCGACGACCCATTAACAAATTGTTTTCCTATTTTTAAGTTGGTTAGAGATTATAAGCACATAGAAAATAGCAAACAGTTAGGTTATGTTTACTGATTAGACGTGGATTTCGACGATAAGTGAGCGTATTAGAAGATAAACAGATAGGAATGAAAATAAGAATCTAATATTTGCCCTAGATATTTAGTATACATTATTTGTTATATTATAAGATAGTTAAACGGAAAAAAAGATAAGCAATGTATTGATATGTTTTTCGATTGAATAAAATCATAGGTTAAACAAAGAAATGTATTGTTTTCATAGTTGAAAGCGTGAGTCAATTGAAGACAGACCACCATGGAAAACCTGGAAGCACTGGCCGGCCGTTTCGTCCTATTATGGGACTTCTCAGCAGTGAGCAACCACGATCCCGCACTCGCGAGATTCAACCAAATGGTTTCGCTATCTTAGTTCGAGTGAAATATATTCGATAAGAAACTAAGAAATCGATTTACAAGTGACTTCATTTTATTACTTTAAAGAAAACTGGCCGCCCAAATAACTCAGCGATAGTGATGTTCACTACAACACTATGTGACGTGGTCACAAAACCCATAAACAATGTCAGTCCTCCGAAGATTTCAGATATGCTTCTCTGACTGAAGAAGACCAAATAGCATGAAAAAGGCATTTGATAACTATTACTTCTCCATTAGTTACCGATCACTTGAATGGTTCATTGGAGAAAACATCATGTTACAGTTTCGCTTTGTTAACACACAGGTGATAGATACAAAACACAAATTTCATGGTTAGAAATTTCTATTGATATGCCACAGGAATTTTCTGACTGAATCTTTTAAATGGTAGCTCAGAATATTAGGTAGTGAATTCACTCGATCGGTATGGCTGAAACAAGCAAACATTAACTGGTAACGATTCAGTATTTAATTTATGTTAGTCTACTCTCATTATTTGGTCATAGCTGTCCTCATATCATTGGTAATGTATCGTAGGACAAAGGGATAAGTAATACTTAGCTTGGAAGTAGGCGAATATACCATATTAATTGATGAGACTATAAGTCTCCTGTAACTATGGTCACTATAACATGTATTGCATAACCACAAACACTATTTATTTCGATATCGGTTGAGATAAGAGTAGGCTGGAAAAGATCTAGCCGTTTCTAAATCAAGATGCTGCACAGATCTATGAAATCACTGAATAGCGGACTATGACATGTTGATAAATGTATGCTATCTGGTGGGGGGTTATGAGGTAATGATGATCAATGGAGATACTGTGTGACATGACTGAAAGTTTGGAACCGTCAATGAGATATATTCACACTTCATCTCCCTCCATATATCATGTTTTGGTAATCGTTCATACATAACTTTTATTCCGTTTTAGTATCATGAAAATTACTGTAATTTGGATTCCTTCACTGTTCCCTGGTTACGGTGATGTACTTAACCCGATACACACATGTGTTAGTTCTATGCTGTTTATGACAAACGGATTCTTATAGCTGTACCAATATCCCTTCCCGATATTATTTCTATCTAATTTATGTAATGATTCTCACACAAACCTAATTAGTGTTCATAAAAATTGATTAATCTCAGTGAGAGTAAAACGATTAAATGAATTAGACTGTATATTTCATTATGATTCTGTATCAACCAACATCTCTGATGGAAGATTATTTATAAAATCCGAGCATTTATGATTCACTTTTCTCCTTTGTATAAATTAACAAAATTGATTTTCAATCCGGACTGATGGTAACTAAATAAACTTTGTAAAACCAAGAAACTGTTTTATTTATTTATTTATACACATAAATATTGGTACAAGGAGGCACCAGATACATATGCGTCACACAAATCTCATTTGATTTGTGTGAGGGCTGTGATACTGTCCACGTGCCCAGACTGAAGCAGGTGGTTTTCTTAGGGGCCCACAGCCCGAGCCTTTGACCTTAAGATCCGATCCACAACATAGTGTAGCATCGTGAGGAGATGCAGTCACATGTTAGTCGGTGAATAATAATTGGTTCATACACCATTTGTTCCATCAGGATACTGGAGCCTATGTTCACTATTGGTTTGCAATCAGGGTTTTCCAACTCCCCTAGGTGGACTTTCCGTGTCCACTAACCCGGTTAAAGCACCGGACATTGACTTTTCGTCCTCTCGGTTTCGTAAACAACACCCGTGGTGCGAGAAGGCAGTGATCAGGATTTTTTTGGCAGAGGCTATATACTCATGGCCGTGTAAGAGCATTTCGAGAGGGAGAGCGTACTCACCCCATTCTCGGCCGTACCACGACTTTTGGGGGCAGGAAACTGTTTAATCAGTAAGGTTAACATTTAACAAAAAGAACCCATGAGTTCTAATGTCACTTACAGAATTCAAAAGTTATACGTATAACAGAATAGATAATTTTTCAATCAACCAACACCAACCCCCTCCCCAAAAAAAGCAACCAATAAATGTATGAAAATACACATAAACCAGAAAAGAAATACGCACGTACACAAACATAAATCGAAGAATAGTCATGAAAGCATTAAAAAGAAATAAGCCAATTTCTTATTTAATTCAATAATGTAATGAATGACATTATTGAAATGTATAAGGCAAATAATAATGGATATTAATATAAATATACACTGAATAACAAAGGTGTGTTGAGATAACAAACAAAAAAAAGACGAGCAGTTTAAATCGATGGGGAATGCGAAGAATTTGGGACCAAAAAAGAATTTCAACAGAGTAGTTGTATAGCGTGACTGTTGCACAAAATAAAGTTTTATATTTGTATATATTAGTTATTATTGGAAAGACACAAGATTGGATTTTTTTGTTTTGTTTTTAGTTCAATTTAGCCTCTTTTTTTCTCCCCTGAAAAGCATATGTTTACTTTAATCTTTCCATTTGAGCAGACAATTCTTCAGTCCTCTGTTTGCATTCAGCGAAATAAGTTCGTTGAGCTGCGACTAATTCTTTTAATGCCATCATGTTAGAGTCCTGTGAAAACAAAAACATTTCAATCGGATAAATAAACATCATCAAATTTATTGATATTGCGTATAGAATGAAATTATTTGTAATCCGGATATTCACCTGAAAGGCCATAAAAAATGGATCGGAACAACATTCACATCTTAGCAGGTTATGTCAGTCACACTGGATAGTTGTGACGCTAAAATTTTTAGTGGTTTTAGACGGCAACCCTAAATATGCAAGCGAAAAATTAGTAAAATGTACAATATTTGAGATTTCGGTCATCAGGCTAATATTCTTTATATCTTTTAACAAGTAGAATTATGAATATGGACACACAGGGACACTTAAGGAAATAATAAACCCATTTTTTGTTTTATCTTCCTTGGCTACTAAAGGTTCATTAGTGATTGGATTATGCTATCAATCATAACGCTAATCTAATTACGAAGTTACTGGTATAGCGATACTAACTACGCAAATAGAAAAGTTTATACAAAAGTTAATGCACTCCGTAAACGCAACACAAGTATACTTTAGTCAAACTTGTATTCAGCTCCCAATTATTCTTGACTCAGCCTCAAACTAATGTGAAGATAAAATAAAGCACAATGTTTCATTTCCGCTCAAACTAAACATGATCCAGAGAAAAAACCAGGTGAATTTATACATTTTTTAGTCTGTTACTTACTTACGCCTGTTGCTCCCAATGGTGCATAGGCCGCCCACCAGCATTCTCCACTCCACTCTGACTTGGGCCTTTCTTTCTAGTTCTATCCAGTTTTTGTTCATTCTTCTCATGTCTGTCTTCATTTCTCGGCATAATATGTTCTTTGGTCTTCCTGTTCTCTTTTGGTCCTGAAGATTCCATGTGAGGGCTTGCCCTGTGATGCAGATAGGTGTTTTCCTCAATGTGTATCCTATCCACTGGCCAACGGATCTGAAGTATCTTGCGTAAACAACTGTTAATAAACACTTGTATCTTCTGGATAATGGCTTTCGTAGTTCTCCACGTCTCCGCCCCATACAGTAGAACAGTCTTGACATTTGTATTGAAAATTGTGATCTTGGTGTTGATTGACAATTGTTTTGAGTTCCAGATGTTCTTCAGTTGTAAATATGCTGCTCTTGCTTTGCCGATCCGCGCCCTCACATCTGCATCAGATCCACTATGTTCATCAGTGATGCTGCTCAGATATGTGAAGGTTTTCACATCCTCCAAAGCTTCTCCGTCAAGTGTATTTCGATTGGTGCATGTTGTATTGTATAGAAGAATTTTGCTTTTCCGTTTATTTATATTCAGATATACTGCCACCGAGGCTGCTGCTACACTGGTCGTCTTCTCCTGCATTTGTTGTTCTGTGTGCGATAGAAGAGCCAGATCATCCGCGAAGTCTAAATCGTCCAGCTGCATCCTAGCTGCCTACTGTATCCCGTGCTACCCTCCAGATGTTGACGTCTTCATGACCCAGTCTATCACTAAGAGAAAGAGATGTGGTGAGAGTAAGTAATCTTGCCTAACACCGGTCTTTACCTCGAATGAGTCGGTGAGTTGTCCTCTGTGGACGATTTGGCAGTTTACTCCATCATAGGAGTTCCGTATGATATTGACTATCTTCTCAGGCACGCCGTAGTGTCGTTGAAGCCTCCATAATGTTATCCTTTCCACACTATCAAATGCTTTCTCGTAATCAATGAAGTCGATGTAGAGTGATATATTCCATTCAAATGATTGTTCTACAATGATCAGTAGAGTTGCGATTTGGTCTGTATACGAACTATCCTTACGGAATCCAGCCTCTTGGTCTCGGAGTTGAACGTCTACGGAGTCCTTCATTCTGTTTAACAATACCCTTTTGAAGACTTTTCCTGGTATTGAGAGAATAGTGATGCCCCTGCGGTTATCACACTTGCTGAGTTCACCTTTCTTTGGTATCTTGATCAGAAGTCCTTCTTTCCAGTCTGTTTTTTAGTATGTTAGTAGGAATTAATCATTTCAGATGTAAGTTTTACGATCCATCATTCAGCAGTGGCTCAAAAAGTCAAAATGGTGATTAGTAAAATACCTATTTATTTCAGTTCATTTGAATGAAATTTTCTGAAAGTAATTGATTTCCTAATATATGTCATTTTGTTCACACTGTAACGTCCGTTTATCAGGGAAATTAATATTTCCCAGAGTGAATTAAGTGATCTAGTTTATAATAACACCCAGAAAACGACAATTTTAGATTCCTACATAAAATTAATTGTTATGATTAGAAGTAAATGTTTGACCGCTTGATTAATGAGTTATATTAATTAACTAATAGATTATTAATGAGTATAATGAGTTCATGACTTTAATCTTTTGAGTATTTCTTTTCATTGCAACATAACATAATTTTTCATTTTACCGATCAGTTCAGTCAGTCACAACATAGAACTTCGTACGTAAGTACATCAATTTGAGTTGCTATAGCACATTAGCACAGAGATGAAGTTGTCGATTCAAATTCCGTAGGGGTAGAAGTAGTAAGAGCAGTAAGCAGTAATTGCAAAGATTAGGGTTTGAAGATGTTATTGAAGGAGTATAATCCAGTGAAATCAATTTGGGAGCATGTAGGAGTCACGAGACTTACATATTTTGTGAAAGTTTGCACATAATATATGTGATTACAATCTGAATTTAAATGAACGGATATCGAATTTATCGGTTACTGAATGATGAATGCACTGTTCTTATTTATTTTATTCAAATCAGCTCTGTATTGAAAATTTAAAGACAACTTTATTAAATTGCTAATTACAGGTAAGATGTAGAATGCTTCTGGATGTCCTAATCATGACAACATACAATAGGTTAATTATTTCTTCGGTCAAATTAACTACATTGTCAGAAAAGATTACTTAGAATTCCATTTAAGCATGAGTAACATATACGTATGTAATGAGTGTAATTCAATGTTGTACATAAGGTGTTAAGGTTCATTATTAATCCATAAACGTGTACAGGAAACTATGTCCCCAAAATACCCAGGTACGACCGAGAGTGGGAAGAGTCCGCTCTCCCTCTAGAAATGCTCTCACATGACCACGCGTATACAGCCTATGCCAGGGAAGTCCTACTCACTTCCTTCTCGTGGCGTTACTGTTGTTTACGAAATTGAGAGGACGAAAAGCGAATGTCCGGTGCTTTAACCGGGTTGGTGAACACGGCGAGTCCACATAGAGGAGTTGGAAAACCGTGATTCCAAACCAATGGCTCGGGGTGTGGCCCCCTAAGAAAACCACCTGCTTCGGTTTGGGCACCCGGGCAGTATCACAGCCCACACACAAATAAATGAAATGATGAATTCTTATCTTTTAATCCCTTCTCTTCCTACTTTCATTATTTTGTGTGGCGCATATGTACCTGGTGCCCTTTTGTACCAATATATATGCGTTTAAATAAATAAATAAATAAATCCTAAGGAGACAAATGGTTTATAAATCAATCTTTGGTCACCGGCTACCATGGGACTGCATCTTCTCACGATGCTCCACTGCCTTGTGGATGAGACCTTTATGTCAAAGTCTCCGGGTGTGGTCCCCTAAGAAAACCACCTGTTTCAGTTTGGGCACGTGGGCAGTATCACAGCCCTCACACAAATCAAATGAGATTTGTGTGGCGCATATATATCTGATGCCTCCTTGTACCAATATTTATGTGTTTAAATAAATAGATAAAACAGGAAACTATATGGGCTATTAAAGTATTAGTCAGTTACAATACAACTTTGTTTACATTGTTCATTTAAAAAAATGTTTAATAGTAAGAAAAACAGTGACTATTTTTATTGGTATATTAACTGACTTACATTTACCGACTTGACCTGTTGTAGTCTAGATCTAGTCTTATCTACTTGTTTATAGAGAACGGTTTTAGCATCTTCCATTTTCTTCAAAGTCTGTTTAAGAAAAAGATTGGCGTACATGTATACACATAATGGAAGACCTGGAGGACAGTTTTGATCATAATAGAACATCAATTAATCATTGTCCTTTCAAATACATTCAAATACTATGTACATGTTTTTAAGTGAAATATAATGACCACTGATTATTTCTCTGAAGGTTATTTTTATTAATTCTTGTGAACAAGAACAGAGGTAGAGCCACTGATCAAAACATTATTGGAATCAGTAATCCTAATCTTACTGGCAATCATCAATCTAATTCTTTCTAAATAGGATAAAGATACTACAAACGTAAAGACGTTTTATTCACGCTTCATTTTTTTTTAAAAAGAACAATAAAAGCTACTTAAGTCGGTTATTCAGAGTTAAAACAACAGAATGAGATTTCTGTATACCAGATGCTGACAAACAATGTTATGTCAACAATTTTATTTTTGAAACCATTGACTTGTTGAATAAATCATAAATGTTTGAAATTATGTATAAATAAGAAAGCTTCCTCACTGACCCCCTTAAATTGGGACGTATTATAACATTTCTCTGACGAAGTGAAGTTAAGTTCTTTTTATATCTAGTAAGAGAAACGCCATTGTTGTCGATGATCTGAAGTTCAGAAGTATACCTTGAACATTACAATAATAGGTATAAACATCAAGTTCACCGAAAATATCATTCATGTGCAAGTGACTAAACCATTTTTAGTGATGAAGAGAGGATTGAGCATTCTAGTCTTTTAAAAAAATTTAAACGAGATCACTACATCTTCGTTTAAGAGACAAATGCGATCATTTTTATGCAAATATCAAATCAACCGAGTATGATGCTGTAGACAAAATTATGATGTTTACTTTGTGCTACTCATGTTTAATAAGTAGTGTGAGTAGTGTATCTCAGTATTCATCACTAAAGTTAAATAGATTGACAAAATTCCAACTAGACCACCATCGAAAACCCGGAAGCACTGGACGGCCGTTTCGCCCTATTATGGGACTCCTCAGCAGTGCGCATCCACAAACCCGCTCTCGCGAGCGAGATTCGAACCCAGGACCTACCGGTCTAGAGCCGAAGCCCTTAACCGATAGACCACTGAGCTGGCAACCAACGATGTTAATGTCTAACTTCAACCAATCCACGATATTGAGCGACCGTTCACCAATTGTCTTCAGTGAGATGATATCTCTACAACAGACCTGGTAGAACTCCACTGGCCACTGCTTCCCACTAGAACTCAAGGAAATATCTCTTGAAGTCAGTCACTAGTGAGCATATGATTATAGATCAGAGGGGGTTTTGTGGAGAAATTAGTATTTTCACCGTTGAAATCATGAGTCAATTGAAGCTAGACCACCATCGAAAACCTGGAAGCACTGGACGGCCGTTTCGTCCTATTATGGGACTCCTGAGCAGTGCGCATCCACGAACCCGCCCTCGCGAGCGAGATTCGAACTCAGGACCTACCAGTCTCGAGCCGAAGCCCTTAACCGATGAGCTTCAATTGACTCATGATTTCAACTGTGAAAATACTAATTTCTCCACAAAACCCCCTCTGATCTAAAATTCCAACTATCACAAAAATTCAAATCCATAGTCTCAGATATAGACACAATGTAAAAATTTACCAAGTCATTATTTTAAAGTTATTCAACAAGAATAAATCCAACTTCAAACAAACAATGGAAAATACCATCTAGACCATTTATAATATTGGTAGCTAACACAAATCGTCAGATAGATTTTTAAAAAAAGAAACAATATACAACGGCAACTCTACACCATATAACAGAAGTTATTATTCATTTTTCTTCCTTTAGGAATGTTCACACATTTTGTCCCGATAATGAAAACCGCATGTGAACATAGACAGATTTGTTACCAGGTAGGGAAATCGAATTCATGAAAAATTGTACTTATTTATTGATTAATTCTTTAAAAAAATAAAGAGCGATTACATGTGATATTTATACATAATTGGTCGATTTTACTATCAGAACAAACAGAAGTCAGTGTGATTTTATGTAAAATCACGAAATTGAAATCATGTATAATCTGTCTAATGGCGGATGATTTTATGTAAAGTAGATTTAAACGTTTGAATACATTTAAAATTCCATTTACAGACTGGTGGCCACATTGCAACTTGATCGATAGTATTCGATCAGTACTAAGAAGGATTTGACATGCATGACATTGATCACCACCCAGTGATCAATCAATTGCGATTCCATTTACAGCATCAACCACATGAAATTTAAACAAATCTCTTGATGGGTTACTTAGACGACGCAAGTAGAGTTATAATACTATGTGTTAGAATTTATCACATACTACGACTTTGGAGTTATGGTTTATTCGTTTAGGGCTACCAACTCCAAATATTAACATATAGTTCGAATCAGGTCCTGAATATTTTTGATTTAGAACAACATATATAAGCGAATAATATTGTTTTCTATTAGATCCTCATCAGGTTTTACTCTAATATACAGTAATACTTATATGCATATACAAAATTATGAAACGAATCATGGCAGTTTATGTGTCAGTGATAACAGTGGAATAGATAACATAACTAAAAATAATAATAAGTGAAAAGTACAAATTGGTAGTGTAATGACAGGTGTACTAGTTGTGATAGGTAATAATAAAGGCTTGAATCAATGTTACACAATGGGAAATAGGTCAATGATTAGAAAAAATTATAAACACTAAAATAACATTCATAAAAATTATAAGATTACGTAATAATAAGTGTTTCGATAATTGGATCGTGAAGCAAATATTTCAAAAAATAAATAAATAATTTATATAAGAACTCTCGTCTAAATTAGAACGAATAGTTTCACAGTATTTGAGCGCCGAGTTGAAGTAAGACATTAAATAGGAATAATTGGTGAAGAAAAATAAACGAAGAAAGAGTATGGAAAATAAAATTACTTATTAAGGCCAAGGGAGAGATAAGAGTGTTACAAATTTCTTATGAACACAAAGACCTGAATTGTTGGATCGAATTCCTATAGCTTCTGCTATGTGTAAGAGACGAGATCGAACCTCATAAGGAAAACTAGTAGGAATACAATAAATAACTTTAAATGGCTTATTTCTATCAACTATATGACCGCTATCGATCAAGTGTGATAGAACCGAGCTCCGTATTGTCTTGACAGTACCTTTTCCTAACCACGAAGGGAGGTGTTCACTAACTCTTTGGTTCAGTTGTCTGGTAGTGCGCTCAATATAGCTTTCTCCACAGGAGCAGCTGAATTCATAGATACAGATAGAATTGGCATAACTAGGTAACTTATCGTTTAGTTGAGGAATCACCATAGATCAGGTCGAGTACGATAGACAGAAGTCGGCTGCATTAAACGTTCTACACACTGCTCTAGTCAGTCTATCACGTAGTACATCACCAGCTAGATTGACGTTGAATCGCAGTTTTAAGAAGAGAGGTTTCTTAGTAGCTGTTGATATCTCTATTTTCTTATTTGTTACACGCAAGTATTTCTTCAGGAAACCTTGTGGATAACCCCTTTGATTTATAAAGTAGACTAGTATCTCTATCTGTAATTCCAAAAGTGTGGATCACAGGACATAGATGTATAGTTAATAAATGAGCTATATTAGTAAATTTAAAGCAATTAGTCCCTTTGATAAATTTCGATAATGCAATGAGAAGACGAAGATTATCAGAACTATGTGATATATTAGCGCAATACATTTCGAACAATCTGATCACACATATACTTGTTAAGAACATTTATATATAAAAATAAAAGGTCAACTAGACTGGAAATAGGGGTAAGAATAGACAAGGATAATAACGATAAAATAATGTGAAAACAATTTGACACCTAATCACTCTGGATAATAAGGTAATATTACCAGGGTAGGTTTAAGGAGAGAACAAACTGTTTTTGAATACACAAAGGGGGTTTGAATTTTCGTATGGCTAAGGCTTCAATAAGTATATGTGTGATCAGATTGTTCGAAATGTATTGCGCTAATATATCACATAGTTCTGATAATCTTCGTCTTCTCATTGCATTATCGAAATATATTAGTAAAGACTATTATACAGCCTAAATCGAACGAAAGAAATAACACTAACGGTATTTCTACACATTCCGAAGTAAAGTGATATTAATTAAAATAAAAATTGATAAATTTCGCCAATGACTTGTCAGAGGTCATAGAAAAGTAGGTACAAACTAGATACATAATTCTTCCACCTGTCTACAGTCAACCAAATTCCGTCACCACTTTCATTTAACATGATATGGATGTGGTGTATAAAAGTTTATTTAATCTTCAATTTAATCAGCACAGCCATAAACACACAAACAAACCATGCCGATACTGATTGTTGATTATTTGTGCCGCATAGATTATACAAAATCAATAAGAAATTACCGAGTGCGCATTGATATTTTTAGTATTATTTTATGTTACTGGAGTATTTTTTTATTTTTGGAAAATACGACGACTAACCAACTAATTCATTTTATCTATATAACGAATTATTAAAAAAACTAAGTTATTGTTGATCATATGACTGGTGAAATTTATGCAATAGAACAAGTGAGTGCATTAAAGCCATGTATATATGAGCAACACATATGTGATCTAGATGATAGATCAGTTATACGGGGGGAGGGTATCAACATATCATCTAGCCGACAATCAACTAATGTTTCATTTAACAAACAACAAACATCAAACAGAACTGTGTTTTCATATGGAATTTCAAAATTTATTAACCATCTCTTATAAATTATTTATAGTAGGTTAACTCAGTCTTTCATTATAAATCCATGACTGCTAATTTTAGAAAGCCAATACTTCTTTTAATATCAAGAAAAAAAAACAAATCTAGAATAAGGCTTACCTCAGGATCTGGATATTCGTTATGCTTCACTTTACTTCTAAATTTATCATAGTCTAAACGATACGACTCCAAATGACCAAGTTCTTTCTGCAAAAACATAAACATATAAGGAGTTATTTTAACAAAATGGTTATAGATAAAAATCTATTAGAGAACAACTGGAAACCAAACATGCACATTTTACAGTAGATAATAATCTACGATACAAACGATCTACAAGATAAAGTTATTACTTACACAATTTGTTTAACTAGACAACTAAAATTAAATTGAACATCTCTGTAACTGAGGAGTCCCATAATAGGACGAAACGGCCATCCAGTGCTTCCAAGTTTTCCATGGTGATCTAGTTTCAATTGACTCGTAATTTCAACTATGAAAAATCTCTGTAACTGTCTACGAACACATGTTTTATGGTAGCTCGAATATTACCATCTTTCATAAGGTTAATCAGACATGATATTGTTAAGAATGTAAATTAAAGGGATCTGATACCAGTTTCAGTTCAGAATATACTTAGATATATATATTATGAAAATGTGTCTTTTTCGATACAATCGATTAAGAATGGTACTTTTTCACAAGAACACAAAAATCTTGAAATAATTAAAAAATTGATTGATTAAAGGAAAATCTAAATTCTACTTAGCAACATCTTCAATAACTGTAAGAAGAAGAATGAAATTCTGATAAAACTAGTTAACAAGAATGATCATTATTTCGTTGTTAGTGAAGTTTGAATTATCCCATTGTCTTTGTTAGCATATGTGTATCTTGTCCGGGTTGCCTCGATTTAACTATACTGTCACAAGTTTTATAAAATGGATGGATTATGGTTAAGAATGGAATCCAGGATTTGTGTTCGGTTTATTTTAAGACTCATTATACCGATGTATTTATATTCCAGTATTGATTTTAACACTAAAGCTCAAAACCATTAACCTTCTTCTTCAATTAATAATCGGTTGTCTACTAACCTACTAAGTCCGTATAGCTACTAGCTTGTGCGATGAATATAATTTTTATATTATTATTGTTAAGGATTTAGTTATTTGTAATCATTACCACATCACTTCTATGGTTTAATGATTAAAGTACTCAACTTTCAATCAGTGGACTGTATGATCAAACCCCAACTCATTTGCTTCAATTAGGTTGACCGGATAGTAGTATCATAAGCACTACAAACGTTTAGCTCAAAGTTGGTTACGTGAATCCATAATTGGCATATATTCAGGGTGAAAAGCCTGTTTTTTAGTAATTGACCTACAAAATCATCACTATACAGTTTAACGATTTGCAGATAACAGTTACATTTTCCATGAAAGATTTTAATGATAAGTAATTCAATCATCCAATATTTGTTTATTTAAGAGCTCACATCAATATTTTTCATATTAGTGATTAATCATCATTACTTGGTTACATATTCAGTCAATATGGATAATTGATTACAAGTTCGTGTAGACAATAGTTTTGCCCCCAAATGCCCTGGTACGACCGAGAGTGGGAAGAGTCCGCTCTCCCTCTAGAAATGCTCTCAAATGGCCACGCGAATATATAGCCCCCGCCAGGGAAGTCCTACTCACTGCCTTCTCGTGGCATGGTAGGGTGTTGTTTACGAAATTGAGAGGACGAAAAGCGAATGTCTGACGCTTTAACCGGGTTGGTGGACACGGCGACTCCACCTAGGGGAGTTGGAAAACCCTGATTCCAAACCAATGGTGCACATGGGCTCCAGTATCCTGATGGAACGAATGGCTTATGAACCTGTTGTTGGTCACCGGCTACCATGGGACTGAATCTCCTCACAATGCTCCACTGTGTTGTGGATCAGACCTTTAGGTCAAAGGCTCCAGGTGTGGCCCCTTAAGAAAACCACTTGCTTCAGTTTGGGCACCTGAGCAGTATCACAGCCCTCACACAAATCGAATGAGATTTGTGTGGCGCATATGTATCTGGTGCTTCCTTGTACCAATATTTATGTGTTTAAATAAATAATAAATAAGACATTAATTTTTCTTTGAAAAACAGTTTACTGGAGAGTCATAAGGGTAAACATTTTTGGATAAGCGTTATGCTGGATTCAATATGAAGAATACAACACTTTGATTTTATTGACTTCTACAAATACACATTAGACTTATGCAAATATTTTGCATAACTAAAGATCATTCATTAATATAATGTGACACGGGTTGGGGAATGCTGGTCGGCGGCCTATGCTCCATTGGGAGTAACAGGCGTAAGTAAGTAAAGTAAAGTAACATGCAATATACAATAATATAAACCCAACGACGAAAAAAGTGTTAACCATCTACTGAAATGAAAGCACAACATCACTAAAGTATAGTATGGTATGCAATAAATAACGTTATAAATGAGAATTATATTAGTTTAGATAGTAAGGCGTTGCACAGCCAGATAGTCTAAGGCTCGATATTCTACTTTTAAACTCAAACATTATATAGAGAGAAACTTCTCACAGAAATGTCATTAAAACTTACTGCGATTTTATCTTATTGTAGCATATATTAAAATAAATCCTTTCATGAGTTCGTCATAGAAATCACTTTCGACTTTTGCAACATCTTCAAAATATCAACTTCGTTGATACTAAGTAATCGTCCAACATCAAGATGGGTTCCCTAATGTCCTAGTAGTAAGTCGTTTTTTCGTAAATTCACCCAACTTGGAATTCGGTTCGGTGACTCATCGAAATCTTGGATGAGTACAGAACCATTAAATCATTGAAAAACTCTTTTCAGTGAATCCCCACATTCATATGGCGATAACAACTGGTAATAAAATCGAATAAATTATAGATAATTTAAGAGGCGTAAGTGATGCAGATCTTTGTAATAGGGCTTGAAACTAGTTGATAAATAGCACCAACTCTAAAGTACATAGTTATTAGTTGGATAGCCATTGATTTACACAACTTTCAAGTACAAGAATGAGGCTCGCAGCTAAGTTCTATTTTCTTAAGTTCAGATAGCACAGATGAATCACTACTCCTAACACAAGAAGTGAAATTCAAAGTAGAACACATAAAAATAGATAAGATCAATCTCTCTTCAACAGTTTTAGTCCTAAAATCATGCACTGTTGTGCCCAAAACTAGCTTTGATGGATAAAAGTCAAATGTTCAATATTTATTAATCTTGACTATGCTGAACAATGTAATCTTCGTCAGAACAACTATGATTTGATATAGTTTACTTAATCTCACTTAAGTAACAAAAATTATCATACGACTTGTATATTAGGCTGAACAAACTAAGAAATTTTGACTTCTTTTAAGTTGGTTAGTTTTCTTTTAAAAACTAGTCAATAATTTACAAAATAGAATATGTTAAGAAAAAACATATAGAACACACTCCAATCAATAGACCGCATGCTTCAGGAAGCTAAAAACGTAAGTCACTGTTTAAGGTCAATCAATAAGGATGACTATTGTACACAATCAGAAAATAAAATGAATCTATTCACAATCACTTTTTTAACTGTATGAAATCCGATTAGTGACAAGATAGAAAATTGATTATTTGGAAATCAGTTAGTGTATTTCATTGTTAAACATAACTATTTTATGAGAAAACTTATGATCATATGTGTATTGATTGGATATAGCAATTCAAGAAAGGAACTTATCATAAGAGGGTTAATTCTAAACTTTTTCCAGAACACATATATAGGATAAGTAGACATGTAGTAGTTCACTAGTGAATTTTATTTAAAACTTTGTATTTCATAAAATACTGATATAAACCAACAAAACAAGTTGAACATAAACTTACTTGTATTTCAGGCCATTCAATTGCCAAAAAGTGATGTAGTACATGTAATGTTTTCTTTTCTAGTATTGCATTCCTTCGACTTTCAGCTGAAGCTATCTCACGACTGTATTCACCGCATTGTGATAATGCCGCGCCTAAAATTTTAAAAAAAACGATCAAATTAAAACTTACTGAATAGGTTAATTACTTAGTAGGTAGGATTCTCTGTATTATTGAGTCAGTGGTATGATTCGATGATCGGGTAGTTGAATACATTCATCAAATAGAAATTGTAAATTATATTTATAAGCCAAATATTTATTTCATGGGATACGTATAGTATAATAAGCATTTATTTTCACCAAGCTGTGGCCTAATTATTAAATCAATCAACTTTTAACCTCTCTTATCTACTTCGGCTTGGACAGACGAACACTATCACCAGCATAAATATAAACTGTACAAAAATTTGTAATTTACATATGAGCTGTATCATAATATCGTTAAGGTTACTTGTTCCAAGAGTCAGTTGACTAAGAATGATAAATGGTTATTTGCATTAATAGTAGGATTAAACTTTGGATGCATACAGAGATTTAGAATCACACGTTTTCACTGACAAGTAATAAAATCTCTAAAGACTAAACTGAAACGATGTATAGCCTTAAACTCAATAGTTTACCATTTCATGTTGTTACACTTTACATTAGTACAGTTAGTATGAGAAAACCTCGGAAAAATAAGGAAAAACGATACCAGTATTTAAAAATAGTAGAAAACATCCAAATGAAACAAACCAAGTAAGCAAAGGATACGGAACCATAACATAGACACAGAACTACATAATCCTCTATAGCTGTTTGGATGCTTACTAATCTGTATGTAACTTAAAATAATAAACCCCGTTGAGAGGAATGAGTTTCTGAAATTAGCAGTAATCATCGCAAGATTACATCACATTATAATGATCTAGAGTCCAACACAAAAAGTAACGAAAGTAGTTGAAAACTCTGTAACCCAACAGTGATATGGATTACGTTAGAAACCATAATATATAGTGGAAATTTGGTTTCTGTCAGTCATTTTGTGTTATAAGGTATATTAACATCAAAGATGTATTAACTTAGGATGAACATTCAAAGAACCTTCCACAGGTATTCATAATAAACCACAAACACACCAATATAATTGATCAATATACATAAAACTGTTAGGGGGAAGCGAAATATATAACTTCGTAAATTGACTGTAATTGTGAATAAATCAACTTGATCTACACATATCCCTTAAATTATTGATTACTTTAAATTAACTACTTCCAGTTCAATACATTCAAACCTAATCATCGGCTAGATATTTAAAAAGATCTATATTTCATGATAACTTTTGATGTCGGTGTATAAACAAACCATCATTTACAGTCTTGGAATCTTCTTTTCATAGAGTCATATCACTTTGTCCTGTTGAACAAATAGTAACTTATTTTTCAGCCAAGATAACTGATCATAACAGCACTTTGTGCGTCATAATAGGAGAAACAATATATCGCTTCTAGCTTGGAGTGCTTTTTTATCATTTAGATAAAATAGTTGTAAACTATCTCTGTGGCGACTAACTTTAAGAAATCGAGTTACCAAATAGTGCAGATCATTCTAAGTTCTGATCAGTCAGTTAGCTACAATGTAGGACCAGACACAGTTATGCATCGGTCCATGTTGCGATACCTCGTTAGCACAACAAGATGAACACCGGATTCATAGTAGTTGATTTAGTGGTGGTAGTATATAAAAGATAGGTTGTATATAAGGATATAGTATAGGAAGGAAGAAAGTTATGAAGCAACTTTAATCTCAAGGTTTAAGGGAAGATAAAGAGTGTATGCACCTACGCCATTGTGATCGATTCTGAGCAATGTCACCTAGAGTCTCCAACCATTGGTTCTGACAGAATTTAATTGATAATATCTGTACATTTACAATCAAATTGTATGAACTGCAACGTCAATCAATCATCAAATCGAGACTTAGGGCAACTGCGTATACGGTTCAAGTAGCCACATTTCAAGCCCATAAAGTGTGGGAGGGGTTGATTTCAATTACAGTGGAAATTTGAACGTGAGAAGCACAGGATATGAAAAAGGAAAAAGACTGAAAAATAATAGGTTAGGAATGAGATTTACAGTATTGAGGAACCACAATTAGAAACAATTACAAAGGTATGCTATAGAAATTCTGAACATAGATGTATATTTTCAGGAAGTTAGCGCAAAAGTTTGGAATAAATAAACAAAGAAATAGTACATGTCAATGGTGAACATTGTACCATAAAAAAGCTTGTAAGCAGATGTATCTGAGGAAAATATAGTTTAAAATTTATTCATCAAAGTCAATGCTGATAGCATATTACTTAAAATGAATAAAGGAATTAAATCAATTCCAGTCTCATCTGTTTACTTTATTTAATAATGATTATGAAATTGAATGAATTGGTTCATATTTTCGAATAACTAGGAATTACTGAAAGAACAAGCATGTCGTCTGATGATCATGTGATAGATAGATTTGTAAAGAACCTTTATACTTACTTGAAACAAAATCAACGTACATTTTGTCTAAATCTAGATGTTTTTGTTTAGCTGTATACATTTCTGCAAATTGTTTGATGCATGTGTAGTGAATGAGAACATGAGTGGGGACAACCGAATGTATTTAGACACAAATATCAGTCCATCGCCTCTGATTTCATTGCTCATGCATTTTCGTACCAATCGCGCTTCATTCCTGTTTCTTCCTTATCGGTCTTCTGCTAAAATACATTCTATGTCTGACCATCGCCATATACAACTTATATGGATATAAGTAGACCACACTACAAATGTTGCTATTTATTCTAAATTGTAATACATGAAACATTTCTATTTTCAGTATTTAAATCAAATCAATGAACTTACACAGGATGATAATTATTAAAACGGTGATTTAATGGTTAAGGCACTTTGTTTCCAAGCAGTTAGTTGGAGTTTCAAATTAAGCTCCACCCAAATTCAGTTTGGGGGTGATAGCACTAATTGTCACTGACAAACTCTTTTACTTAACGCTAAGAACATAAAAGAGTTATTAATAAATGAGTTGAAATGAACGCCCAGAGAAGGTGACTTAAGGCGTGTTTTACGGGTCTTATACACATTAGAATGTATATTTTATCTCATCAATAAAAATTTAGGATAGGACTGTAAACAAATTGTAGAGAATGCGAAATATGTTGCGAACGTACCGAACAAGAACATGAAATACAACTGAATTCAAGTTCTTTTACTAACGATCATATTATAGAAATAGCAGAAGAGGCTAGGGATAAACGTTGAGTTGTCAAGTTATCCAAGTGTATCGTGGTCAGTAATTACGATTATATTCACTTGGTATTGTTTACTTGAACCTTCCCATTGATGTTTAGGACGGCAATTGATTAATCTCTTATTGGCATATGTGCATACTGTGAGTATTGCCTCGATATTGCCTTAATTCACGAGCATTATAAACTAAGATGAATGGTGGCTAGTAGTGCAATCCAGGACGCTCATTTCGTCCTGTTTGGGACCCATCAGCCGGATGTACATGCATCTCATAGTTGATGTTCACTCTAGGACTTGAACACAGTACCATTCGCTACAAACGCCATCGCGTTTTTTTTCTTCAATCATGACTGACTGTGCTACACTTGACACCTTCATAGCATGATGGAGTAATGTTTTTGTCGTAGAAAACTTTACACGTTTTATGTAAGACAGAGAATGAAACGCGCACTCTGTCATGGGTAACAATAACGTAAATAATAATTATCGCTTTATTTTGGTTGGTCTTCTGGTGCAAGGTCAAAATTTCAAACGGGAGTGGAGTTTATCCTCTCCCCAATTACATAATCACGTGACGACTAATATCTTTCGAAAAATGACAAGCTTACAGAGAGATTAATGTTAAATTTTCAAAATCACATCTCATTTTCAAGCCTTTGTTTTAAGATTGTGAGGATGACCAGTAATTTACAACATTAGTTACATTCAGAAGAAATCGAGACCTGTTTTAGATTGCACATAAGCAATGATAACAGACATGCAGAACCAGAAGAAATTTTAAAATACATATTGCATCGCAATATCCATTCATTTAGACTAATTTATGAAGTAATGGTCAATAAACAAAATGAAACTAATACTAATAGATAGGCTATAGGGTTTATTTTAATTTGATTTAATGTAACTCACTAACCAGTTTTATGTATTCGACTTTGAGTCATACTTGTTGTATGAGCTCTGGCAAAATTACATACTTTACAAAACTGAACCAGAAGGAATGAGGTTTAAATCTTCGATCGAATGATAGATAACTAATTTCGTGGATTGGTTGAGGTTAGACATTAACACCGTTGGATGCCAGGTCAGTGGTCTATCGATTAAGAGCTCTGGCTAGAGACTGGTAGGTCCTAGGTTCGAATCTCGCGAGAGCGGGTTCGTGGATGCGCACTGCTGAGGAGTCCCATAATAGGACGAAATGGCCGTCCAGTGCATCCAAGTTTTCCACGGTGGTCTAACTTCAATTGAATCATGATCTTAACTATAAAATTCCTAAATCTCCACACAAAAATACCCCTTGTGATAATTCAGGATTGATCGATTTTAATATCTAACAGGAGAACAAAAATAATTTGAAAAGGATGGCCTACAATTGACGCTTAATTCAAGTCTCTTAATGGTTCCTAATTTGATCTATACCATATGTTAATACATAAAAAGGTGTTTGACATATTTAACTTTGAATAGATGTTAAATTAAATTTCAGAAATAGAAATAAACAAAATATACAACCAATTATGAACATTTTAAAATTAGTATAGTCAGATGGTAGATAACGAAGGCAGTGAGTAACAACGTTACAATATGCCAAGAAACAGGCAGAGGTAAGAAGAAAAAAGGTGATAAATTTCAGGTCAAATAATCGATCTATACGTTATTCTTTTGAAATTATTAATTTAACGTCAAGAATTCTCACTTCATTAACACAAAAATATGAATGAAATGAAAGAAGAATAGTTTTCAATGAATGCCCATTAGTTTCTATTATTATAAATTTAAATTAATACTTCAAAGAGATAGACATTT